GGATGCCGTGCTGTTCTTGGGCAAGCCGCACGCGCAGGTGGTGTGGAGTCTGCTTCAGCAGGGAAGGCACGTCTTGGCCGTGGATGGGGACACAACGCAGCTCGAATACACCGTGCAGTATGTCACCCATGAAGTGTCGTCCAAGCCTCACCCATGTGATTTCCACCATGTCGTGGTCGAGCCCGTTTATGAACCGAACAAGGACATGTTCTTCAAGTTGACTCCGAAGAAAAGGCCCCAGGTCTACTCCTTCCTTTACGGCGAACAACCAAGGTTGAGATTTGACCCGCAGTACGTGGTGCGGAAGGAAGTCGCCATTGCAGTCCTCCAGGGCTACCACGGAGCGAGCTGGGCCGGCGCTGTGAGGTTCATTAAGAGGCTGGAATATGTCTTTTTTAACGAGGATGTTGTCGATCCGGCCGACTTCGCTTTGGATAAGTACAAGCTGGCATTCGGTGAGGAGGACGACTTCAATATCGAGACTGAGCAGGAGGAGAGCGTTGAGGACGACCTCTTCGATTTGGACGGGCAATTGGCCATCTTCAACGCCCAAGTTTTTGAGTCGCCGTCAATATGCAAACCGGGGACACCTCTCGCTACACCTACCTCGGGCAGTCCCACGCCCGTGTCCTCCTCAACGCCTGTCAAGAGGGGTGGGTTGTCCCGTCTGAGGAGTTCGCCGGGGGAGCCTATTCGTCTCACGCCGCAGCCCGAACGTCTTCGACCCGGCCATCCAGTTCCTCCRGACCATCCRCATCTCAAGGCTCCTGCGACTCCCTTCCACATGGGCGACAAACACACCTTCTCCACARCCRAAGATTGGGGCCATGATATCGTGTGGCACCCAGACCATTTCCAGCTAGTCCTTCTCGACGGCGAATGGGCAGTGGCTGTGAGGGACGTAAGTGGAGGGTGGATATATGACGATCATTGGGACCTCGAGACATTCGAATCTCGCGCCTACGATGCGGTATTGGAGAGATTAAGTGAGGTCAATCGACGAAGTAAGGACGACCCTGCTCTTCGCGAATACGGGGACACGTTGTTCGAGTTCTTGCAGTCAAATAAATGGCTGGAAGTGTCCTCCGCATTCTACGCCCTTTCGTCAAGCCCGTCAATTAAGCAAGTGAGTTGGGAGCTGCCTGGGGTCACCCCACCGGCAGGAGTTGTGAAGCGCAAGTCTCGCGGAAAGGACGGCAACGGGGATGGTGAAGGCGGCGGGCAACGAGGTACCGGAGGTGGAAGTGAACAGCGTTCGACGAAACAGCGGTCTCCCGGGCACGCAGGCGGCGGAGAGGGGAAAAAGGGCAGCCGGGAGAAGAAGAAGCCTCGCAGCGGAGAGAAGACAAAGCATCACAGAGGAGATGGGCAGGGGGCCGATGTCGACCGTGACGAGGACTGTGGGGTTCTGGCGGTAACAGGCAGCACCTCAATGGAGACGGGGAATGACTTGAGGCCTGGGTGTATTAAGCGGCCTGGCGAGCAGGACCCTGTGATTAGCTCCACCAGCGAAACACAGTTTGTCGATGCGGTTGGCGGGGCGGGTGTCGCAAAGCATGGAACATGCTTCGCTCAACTCCAAAAACGGTTGGTGGATTGTCTCGGATCAATCCGAACCTCGGAGACGACCTCGTTATCCGGAACTCAATGCCTTCCGGGAAGCGAGACGACAACATACCACGGATCTGGCAGCGACAAGCTGGAACTGTGTTCCGTTTCACCTCAAAAGGAATTTCGGATTAATCCGAACCGCGAAGGCCATGCCATCGAGGGAGCACAGTTGTCTACAGAACTCGAACGAGTGGTCCGGGTTTCCGAAAACCCTGGCGACGGAATTCGGATTCATCCGAACCAGGAAGCCGTGTCTGCCATGACAGACGATCGGTGTCAGGATGCAGTAATGCTGTGCGTGGAAGCCCACAAGGAGCTGCAGGCGGACTATCGGACTGAGGGTGAGTTGGCGACCAGTTCCAATGTTGAGCCCAACAGACTCGGAGCCGAGTTGGCAGTCGTAAGTGACTCCCCGGTGAAAGCGATCATGTCGGCGTCATTGGAAACTGCGGGGGCTGGGATGAAGCCGAACCAGGGCCCTGTGAACATCTCCCTCCCTGATGGATCTTTGGAGACGATCGTGATTCGGATTCATCCGAGGCACACGGACGAAGGACTTCAACTGGCAGGCGTTGAGGGTTGTCGACTACTGACGACTTTTTACAAGGACAATTCCGCCGACGACCGGATTGATCCGACACTCATGGACGTCGGGATGGAGCAGCCAGTTCAGTCGGGATACGACGATCCCTTGTACTCCGCCCTTCACAACGAGGCGACGGGGGAGGACGATCTGAAGAAGGCCTCTGACGCTGTTGGAGATAAATTTCTCTATTTGAGTGACGACGACAAAGACACAGCGTACAGGGACAAGAAGTTAAGGGGGGGAGAGGTGTTGTTGGACATCCATGGGACATTGAGCCCAACACAGCACGACACAGTGGCAATGGAGAAAACACAACCTGCTGATGTTGTGGACGTCGACGATCTTTGTCCGGAGATGAATATACCGTCGACGGTCATCGATGCCGACATCTCGAGCCTGTCAAGTTTCCCTGTGGGTTTGGAGCAAGTCGTCGCCTCGTCGACGCGCGCAGGGGTGCCAATCGTGCTGGGACTGCCGTCGGTGGGTTCTGGTGAAGTGGTAGCTAGGCCTGGTAAGCACTGACTTTCTTTGCTTTCTTCCCGCTCGTCAGCCCGTTCGTGAAGTGTTGTTTGCTTCGTCGATTTCGGGGAGGTGTATAGGCGGCCGCCAACTGGATTGTGACGATGTGCTTCGTGAGGTGCTGTTTGCTTGGTTGCTCTTGCGAACTTGTGTTGTTGATCTCCTGCTGAACTGTCTGGATGGCTATTTCTTGTACAGGTCGACGAACTCGTGGACAAACACCCATGTTGCAGGAGCCGCCTGCCCTCACCAGGTTGTCAGTCCTGGTTGCGGGAGGCACTGGTCGTCGCAATGTCACTGATGCGTTTCTTGGGGACACTAAGCCTCGAGGCCCTCCCAGAAGGGTAGTCGTGCCCGTATTGGGCTCCCGCGCAAGACTCGTTGCAGAGGCAGCGGGTGTTGCTGAAAAAGACTGCTAGGAATTTCTTCTCGAGGCTTGCAGGGATATAAAGGATAGTGCTAGTTTAGAATCAACTGTGTGTAGAAGGTCCAGAAGTAGGGGTGATGTTATGCGTGAACTTTTCGGACCACAGAGTAGCGGTTCCTCGGACCATGGCCGCTAGGACGGCATTTTCCCATAGTGCCCCGTCCTTTGTGCTTGCTGTGTGCTGCGGGTGCTTGTTGAACAGGGTTTCCTCGAGATGGAAGAGCGGTCCTTGAAGACGTTATCTGCTCCCGGTTGCCGCTCACTATCATCGTCGCGCGTTTGCCGTCGCACAGTTTACAGGTATCCGTCAAGGACATCGTCGCACTCGTGGATAGATCCGGGGAGCTCAACGATGAGGTTGTCAATTTCTACATGGCGATGCTACTGGACGACTGCGGCCGAACTGCCGCTACCATGAAGACATACACCTTTAACTCCTTCTTCGCCTCTTCACTGCTTCTGTGAGGTCCGACAGCTGTTCTCAGATGGGCTAAAGATGTCGACCTCCTGTCTCATGACCTCGTCTTGGCACCGGTGCACAAGGACGGCGAACACTGGAGCCTTTGGCCATTGACTTCTCTAAACGTGTTTTCGAAATCTATGATTTTTTCTCGTGTTCGTCATCCAAAGATTCCTTCTACTCCGCACTTCTGGATAAAACTGTTAAATTTTTGAACACGGTGGCAGGTGCCGCCGGTGATGGTCGCACTTTCGACCACTTCGCTCGCGAGGTCAGCGTGAAAGGTGTCCCTTGGCAGCACGACGGGGCTAGGTGTGGGGTGTTCATGTTGATATTCGCTTCCTGTTTGGCGAGAGGTTTACGTCCACCTTTTGGTTTCTCCCATAGACACATCTCCTCTATCAGAGCTAGACTAGCTTTGGCGATTTGCGATGTTGGTAGGTAAGCGTCTATCTCTTTGTTAATCATGTAGTGTAGAAGGGTTGACGTAGAAGAACATTTCGTTCTTCTCCGGACGAAATTTGTTCCTTTTCAATTTTTCCGTGAGGGACTGGTGGGTGTTCTCGGTTTGGTTCATAGCATAACTGGCTGTCACTGCCAGGAAGTCTCCGGTTGAACTTGTCATGTCCCCGGCGTGTTTGTCGTCGACAATATTGTTCTTTCTCATTGGATTTCAATTATCACGAACGTCCCCGTTGTTGGGGCGCCTGTTTCGTGATTGCACATCTCGCTTTCGTCATTTTGCGCCTTGTGTGGTGTGATGTTCTGGCCGCATACTCGGATGCATCCGGACTCGAACTAACTCTATGCTTTTCTGCCTCTCTCCCGAACCTCCCCTGTCGTCTACACTCATCTATGCATTTTCACTTTGAATGTTGTGAGGCGTCACAGAAAACAAAATACAACACACGGGCCGCTTTATACATTTGATGGTCCGTCTGGCCCTCCGCACTGTGTGCTTTGTGATTCCGACATTGAATGCTGTCAATTCTTTGGCCCGACAAAGCTCCCCCTCTGCACGAGCATTCATACATTCGGTTCCTGTGCATTACCCAATACAATGAAAAATTAGAATGTGCCGAGAGGGAAAACCCAAAAGACGACACCAATGGCTGCTCGAATGTGACGAGATTTGAATTAAGGTGGCGGGGCTGAAAATACAATTGCATGATTGGACAAAATTGGATGTGGTGACGGAAGGATAAATCACAACGCGGGCTAAGGTCTTTGCTATAGAGGACTTGAGTTAGTCCGTCGCACACTTAAGGCCAGCGAACGAAGTGGGCGCTCGAACTCCGAAACTGCTTGCTGGAGGCAGCACCTGCATTTGTACTCGAGCAGACCGGTCTCTACCTTCAACTTGTTTTAAGGCGACTATACTAACCGCGTGAAGTTGTTTCACATATAGTCTCTGAGGATCCTACACAGACATATGTTGGTTTCCTGCGGATTATGCCCATTACATTTTAGTAAGGTGAACTCGTACATGTATCAAAGACAAATCCTCATTAGCTCTATAAGTTCCATAATTCAATATCCAAGGATTACGTTTTTTGAATCTGAGAACAAATAAGTCTCGAGTAACCAAACCGGATAGACATTTGATAACTTGAGCCAATATACTCAGTGAATTTGACACACAAAACAAAGGGCCGAAGGCCAGAGCTCCCCTGTCATCTCGGATGCATCCGAACTTGGCTTACTCTCGCCTAACAAAAACCTTGCAACTCTTGTACAACTACACTTGTGGTTTTCGCATGTTCCTTGAACATGCGTCTCTTGTGCCACATGTCGACATGAAAAGAAAATTCAGTGCAATCATCCACACTATCTCTGTCTCTCTCTGTGTCTCTGTCTATGTCCCTGTCTCTGTCTTTGTCTCCCTCTCCATCTCTCTGCGCACTCTTTCTATCTCTGTCAGCTCTGTCTAGATCGTAGCGAAGCGACTCACAGCCGAGACACTCCGGATGGATCAGAAATGTGGTGGATGATGGTACAATGTTTGTCTCTCTCTCTCTCTCTCTCTCTCTCTCTCTCTCTCTCTCTCTCTCTCTCAGTTTCGCAAAAGATACTTTTTGAACTGTGTCCCAAAAAACACAGGGGAAGCTTCAAACTAAAGGGTCTATACTAGTTCGACACTTCAGATACGTCCGTAACACGAAATGTTGTGGGTGACTATACGGTGCTTGTCTTTCCATCTCTCAGCCTTCTGGCGTGCTAATATGCCATTTCTTGCAGGCTTCCTCTCTGTCAATCTCCTATGATCTTCGGATACGTCCGAACTTCGCTTATCTGGGAAAATCATATTGTCTTGCTGCTCTTCTGCAACGATCGTCTGAAATGCTTTTAAAAGCGAGGCTGATGATCTCCGCGTGTGCTCGACCCTGCGCCGTCTGTGCGACGTCTCGAGAAAATTAAGTACAGTCTCTCTGAGACACTCTGTCTCTCGCTTTTTCTGTCTCTCTCTCTTTTTTTATATCTCTCGCTCTTCAAATGTATACGACCATTTCTTGTGGACTTTCTCTGTCTGTCTATCTCCTGTAATCTTGGATACATTCGAGTTTCACTTATCTTAGAAATTCACATTGCCTTGCTGCTCTCCTACAACGATCGTCTGAAATGCTTAAAAAAACGAGGTTGATGGTCTACCCGTGTGCTCGACCCTGCGTCTCCTGAAAATTAAGTACAGTCTCTCTAAGACTCTCTGTCTCTCGCTCTTTCTGTCTCTCTCTCTCTCGCTCTTTCTGTCTCTCTCTCTCTTTCTATCTCCCTCGCTCTATACATGTACACGATCATCGGTGCAGAACTCCAATTCATTCTGGTCCTCACACTTCTAAATACAGGTCATCCTACTCCTCTAAGTCTGTGAAGAGCCACAACTCGTTTTACTCACAAACTCGAGTTTGTGTCATTATACTATTCTGATTCGGATGAGTGGGATGCTCAACTCCAAGTGAAACTATGACACAGTGGTATATGTTACTCTGTTCTGGTGTTCCACATCTGGACACAGGAGATATATGTACTGAGGCAGCAATACATATTATAACACAGTGGTAGCAGATATATGTACTGACTCAGAGGCCTATAACACAGTGTATACTCTGTTGTGGTGTTCCACATTTTGACACATCCGAACCACGAGAGGAGAGCAACTATATGTACTGATTGTGTTCCTCGCCTCAAAGCTGCTTTACTCCTTGTTCGGATGTATCCGGATCTGGAATACTACAACAGACTATACACTGTGTCATAAATTTGTTTCAAAATAGTACACACAATAATGTACTGTTTTAACGAATAACATGTTTATAGTTTTTTCTGTGTACTTGACCGCGAAATGAACCGCATCGTCTTCGTGGGCAGCTCGTGTCCAATCAAACCTAACGAGAGGGTGTGGAACCGTCAGTCAGCTAAGCCCGCTATCCTCATTATCTTTTCGTTTCTGCAAGGCCGACTCCTGCCATCGATAATCATGAGCCCGTTCCGTGACTCCCTGATGTTCCGCCTTGGTAAGCTCTGCCAGCGGGTCCCCTTTGAGTCTCCTCAACAGGAGGAGACCCGTCCAGACTTCTGCTCTACAGATGCTTGGCAAAAATCTGTCGTCTGTCCTAGCCTCTATGTACAGCTTCTTCGTGGGTACTTGGTCTGTTCGGAAGTTTGGACAGTCTCACTTCTTTTCATTCCAGTACCTAATGCAACACTCGTGGGACCAAGTCACACAGCATTGGCTACATCGTACCCACGAGATAAAACTAGGTCCGTTAGGATGTAAATCTCCCCGGTCCGGTATCATAGGCAAGGTGCAGAAAAAGCAAGAACGCAGAGGCAAGCTAGAGGGAGAGTGAGGGGTAGAGGAGTGGGTCGAAGAGTCGGGGGAAGATGAAGGTGTAACCCTTGCTTCAGGGGGGGTCGCCATCTCGCGTCTCGGTGCTTCCCTTGCAAATGATGTGTACCTCTCTGTAGCGATGCTCCGTCGGAGGCGAAGCTTCCTTCCACGAAATGAGCCGCTCATTTGGTGGCCACTTCTGTGGTGGCTGGAGGTGGGTCAATCCGTCTGCGTTCCTGTGTTGTTTGGTCTCGCGGTGGCGGATGTCGAAATCGTAGTCTTGCAGACGCACCGCCCACCTTCCCAAGGTTCCCGTATAATCCGTGTTGTTTCGTAATGACAACATCAGTTGATGATACGTCATGAGAACGAACTTCT